TCGTCATCATGATTATCATCACCATCATGATCATGATCATGAGCATCATCATCATCACCATCATCAGCATCATCATCATCATCAGCATCATCATCAGTCATCATCAGCATCACCCCCACCGCCATGATCATCACCGTCACCATCAACATCACCATAATCATCAACATCAGCATCATCAGCATCAACATCATCAGCATCTTAATCATCATCACCATCCTAATATGCATCCTCACCAGAATCATCACCAGAATAATCATCGCCATCCCCATCACCATCATCAGCCGCATCACTCTACTCCTCGATCGTCATCATCCCTGTATCCCCCCCGCCCTCCTCCTCCTCCTTCTCCTCTGCATCATCCTGGTATCCTCCTCCTCCTGCTCCTCCTCCTCCTCCTCCTCCTGATCCTCCTTCGCATGCCTCCTCCTCCTCGCTTGTACCCCTCCTCGCAGAAGCAATACAGAAAGCAGGACCGTCCAAATACCTAGACCCCCACCTCCTCGACATCCTCCTTCTCCTCCTCGTCCTCCTCCTCCTCGTCCTCCCCCTCCTCCTCCTTCCGTATTCTTCGTCGTCCTCCTCTCTCCTCGTCTTGCGCGCTCGGAGCGGGAGGAGGAGGAGGAGGAAGAGGAGGAGAAGAAGTAGCAGGAGGAAGGAGGAGGAGGAGGGGGGAGGATGGGGAGGCCTCCGAAGAAGCCCACAGGCCACAACAGAGGAGGAAGGGGGGAGGAGGATGGGGAGGCCCCCCAGGGAGGAGGAAGGATGAGGATGCAGGAGGAGGATGACGAGGAGGAGGATGACGAGGAGGAGGAGGAGGAGGAGGAAGCAGGAGGAGGATGGGGGGGGGGGTGGGGAGGCGAGGCCCCTGGAGGCCTCCAAGCAACCCCACGGGCCCCCGGGCCCTCGGAGGCTCCCAGAGGCCCGATGCAGGCTCCTCCACGGGCTCCCGGGGCCCCCCTCCTCCGAACGCCTTGCCGTGCGTCGCGACGGTGGGCCCCCGCCGAGACCCCCCCTCAGAAGAACATGTCAGACAACATCGGTCCTCTCCTCCTCTTCCTCCTCATCATCATCCTCTGTCTCCTCCTCCTCCACTTCCTCCTCCTCATCCTCCTCCTCCTCGATCCTCGATTCTCGATTCTCGATCCTCGATTATCCTCCTCCTCCTCCTCCTCCTCCCTCCCCTTTCATTCCTCCTCCTCCCTCCTCCTCCTCCTCCCCTTTCTCTACTCCTCCTCCTCCTCCTCCTCCTCCCCCCTCACCTCCTCCTCCTCATCATCATCATCAGCATCATCAGCATCATCATCATCCATCTCCTCCTCCTCCTCTTCCTCCTCCTCCTCATATTCGATCATCGGACCTCGGCGGTACTCGATCCTCGTTCCTCATCCCCCTTTTCCTCCTCCTCCTCCTCCTCCTCCTCCTCCTCCTTCCTCCTCTTCCTACTCGATCCTCGATCTTTGAGCCTCGGTCCTCGATTATCCTTCTTCTCCTCCTTCTCCTACTCCTCAATCCTCCTCCTCCTCCTCGATCCTCCTTCTCCTGTCCCGATCCCCGATTCTTGAGCACAGATCTTCGAGGGCACTCCCCCCTCTCCCTGGAGCTCTTCGTCTGCAGCAGCGTGGCGTGGCGGCGCCTGGCCTCCACCACGGCCGCCTCGGCGAAGTCCACGCCGACGTAGCTCTCGACGTCCGCCCGGCGGAAGCAGCGGGAGTACTTGTACAGGTCCTCGGCCCCGCAGCCCAAGACCCCGTCGCGCCCCTCAGCCCCAGAACTCCTCCGCCCCCTCCTCCCCCTTCTCCTCCGCCTCCTCCTCCTCCTCCTCGCTGCTCCTCGCTCCTCCTCGCTCCTGCTCCTGCTCCCGCTCCCGCTCCCGCTCCCGCTCCTGCTCCTCATCGTTCATTCTCCTCCTCGTCGATCGTCCTCCCTCTCTTTTTCCTACCTCCTCCTCCTCCTCCTCGCTTCTCCTCGCTCCTCCTTCTTAGGACAATGTTAGGTCTAGACACCCTCGCGTCGTGAACAACATCGCGGTATAAGGTTTATGCCAATTGTCAACCTCTCGGGGCCATCACCGAGTCCTGCGACTGTCAAGAGACAGCTCAGGATGGAAAAGCAGTCCCCGAGAAGTGGTCTAGACCGCTGGGGGTCCACTTTGCGAGCGAAATCACGACGTCGGGTGCCTGGGAGGTGAATGTGAGGCGGGACTTGCCAAATCTGAATATTGCCGCCCGGGGACTGCGGTCCTTGGGGAATTCGGCAGGCAGTGGATACGGAGGTCGGCGCACGGGCATGGATTCTCGACGTCGGCGTTACAGTCGGGACGTTGACCTAAGGAACCCTACATAAGGAACGATGCCCCTTTTCTCCACACATTGAACTTCGAGCTCCCATGGAAAGCCTAAGGAACACCCAAGGCAAACTGCGAAACAACTAGGGAGCACGGAGCCCCTCCCCAACGAGAAGGGTTCCCTTTTCAGCGCCCCGACTGTACTCGCAGGGGCGAGGTCGGGGATCGCAAGGGGTTCTCGACATCGCTCGGACGTCCACTGCCTGTGATTTTTGTCCGTTTCGTGCGTGTTTTTTTTGTTCGCCAAATGGTCAAGGATGCTCCTCGATGGTCCTCGCCGAAGGAAAAATGCACACGTCCGAGCGATGCCAAGAGGTTGGGGCACGGGCATCGATTCTCGACGTCGGCGTTACTCCCAGGGGCGAGGTCGGGGATCGCAAGGGGTTCGGGGCCCCCTCGGGGGGGCCCCGGATCCGACCGACAGCTCCGCGCCCCCCCCCCCCCCCCGAAACGCCGACCGCAGCACTGCGGCCAGCTGCCTCGGCGACGGCGGCGCCCGCGGCACGCCGTGGCCCCTGCAAGCCGACAGCGCCTCTCGCTCCGCTCCGCGGGGGAGCGGGAGGCCGGAAAGAATCGTTAGGCTGAAGGGGCCCTGGGACACACAAATAAAGACACACAAATAACAAGATTCCCAATGTTTTCCCATATTTTCTGGGTGTCTGTCTTCCCCCCCGCTTCCCATATTTTCCCATATTTTCCTGGCAGTCGACGATTATTTGTGTCTGTGTGTTTTTCCCCTCCTGATGGGCCATGGGAATCCTCAGGCCACGGGAGCTCCGCCAAATCCTCTGTCGTGCAGGGGTAGCCCCGAAGTCCTTCCCCGAGGGGGGGGGCAGCAACCACCCAACAAGATCCCGCACGGCGAGCACTAGCACGGAAATGATTGCCACGCGCGGCCAACGCCGAGCAGCATCAACGCACAACGATGGGGATATCGAACTGCGCACGCTGCGCGAACCCCATACGAAGACGGCAACGACGACGATCGCGACGACGATGACGACGACAAAGACGACGCCGATTCGAGCTGAGATTGAGCGAACTAGAACTCAATCATTTTATACGGAAGGACATACATCCTCTCTCGCGCAGGGTAGCCCAAGCGGCCGTATCCGCTTGGAGGAACAACCATCCACCCACAACTGACAGGCAAACGGTAGTGCGCAAATAGTCGTTGGCGCCAACGGGCGCCTACAGAGGAGCGGGAGATGCTGTGGATGTTGTCAGGAAGCAAATGGATGAAGTATATGATGTAGCTGTTAGCGGGATACGTGTGCATATGATTGTGTATGTGTGCATATATATATATATATATATATACATATGCGTACATATGCATACACGTATGTGTCTTCCCATACCCGAACTTTACGCACGTATATACTCACCCACCAACAGATCTCGATGAGCAGTTGCAAACAAGTATCCATGTACATATCCCTCGGGTAATCCCTTAGACATGAAAGTCTGTCCATGCACATGTCTATTTGCAAATGCAGAACTGTATGTATGTAGCGTACAAATACCTCGGGAAAAACGAGTTCTCTTGCCCGCCGGGAGCTCAGGGGGGCATCATCAGAAACCTCTCTCGGTTACTCCACTGCACCCGCCCAAACTTCAAATCAAGTGAAGGTGCAGCACGTACCAAGGATGCAAAGCCAATGTGCTCCCCGAGCCCATCCGAAACGTGAGTGCCATTTCCTGGGGCGCAGCCAACGCATGCCCACCCCGGCAGAACCAAAGCTGGCCACACAACCTACCAACAAAAAACGCATCCCACTGAAGGGGGCCAATCAGTAGACGCACACCCATCCCACGGCACGATAAACCAGGGAGGGAGCCGAAGCTCCGCCCGGCGAGGCCTCCGTTTGACTAACCCCGCGGCGCGGCGCGTCGATCTCTCCCCCTCCCCCCGCCCCTCCCGGCGCCCCCGCCCGCGTGCCTCGCAGGAGGACCAGCTGAGACAACGGCGGCCCTCCTTGGCGTTCTGCGTCCTCGCAGGGCCCCGATATGGGCCGGGGAGTAACACCCGTGCCAATACCACGCCGGCCGGGCAAGCCCATCAGCGCGCTGCTCTTGAAAGAACCTTCGCCGGCTCGGGCGCAAAAAGGCTTCGCAGCATTGGCAAACGCGCGCAGCGTGGAAGACGACGCGCGTGCCATTGGCGTGGCACTTCCGCGTCGCGGCGTCGGCACCATGGTCTCGGAGAGCGGCCCCGGCCTCACGACAGCGCGGATCGCTCGGCGAGGCCACGGGCGGCGCCAACACACTGCACGCCAACGCTGGGGTCGCAGCCGTGTGGGCACGACGCGGAAGCCCAGGCCCCCGAGGCCATGTTTTTTTTTTTTTTGTCATGGCGTCGGCCCCCAGAAGTGTCACCCGTGCCCTGGGACTGGCTTCTCCTCCCGAGCCGTTTCCTGACGGTCCCGGGGCCCGGTATGGGCCACGAAAGGCCGAGACGAGGGAACAACCTCCCGCCACGATTTCCCCCCGTCTCGTAACATGGGATTCTTGTTATTACTTAGACACCTCCCCTTTCCTCTGCCTCCTCCTCTTCCTCCTCCTCCTCCTCCGACCTTTCCTCCTCCTCCTCATCTTCCTCCTCCTCCTCCTCATCCTTTTCCTCCTCCAACTCCTCTTCCTCCGCCTCATTGGACTTGGATGGCGGCGCGACGTCTATCCAGACCAGCTGGCAACTTCAATCTATTATGCACCACGCCCCCCACCAGCTCTCAAACAAACGTCGAGCATGCAGCCAGCGCGGCCGCCTCAGGCCAGAACGCATCAATCCATGTGCTGTCGAAGGTGCACCCGATGGCCAAAGGGCGCGCCACGGCCCACGCCGATGCAGCGCATGCTCTGCCACGCGCGCCGCCGTCGGAGAAGACGATCAAGCTGCACTCCCGTAGGGACTTTCTGGGGTACAGCCAATCAGAATGCACAGACCACGTTCTCTGCGCATCCATGGTGTAGTCTGCCAGGTGGTCCGCTATGACGTTGTACTCCCGTCGGCGACATGCCACAGGGTCGGCCCCGAGGTCCTGTGGATAACATCCGGAATTAATCCACTTGACGATGTTATCGCAAGTGCGGCGCACCAATTGCGAAGCCAACGGGTCCACGCAAGGGGCATGACCGCAAATGATGCGCGGCAGTGGCTGGCAGTCCACTACCACCAATGCCAATCTCGGCGTCGCCCCCCATGGCAACGCGACGTCCATTTCATTTTGGGCGTGGGACCATGGCGCGTCGGCAAGAACCTGTCCACGAAGCTTCTGGCGGTCGTCGGCGGGTGTCACCGCAGCGTCCACGCACGGCCTGCACGTGCACGGTAGGAGCGGCAACTGCCAGCGGGTGCGCAGTTGGTTTGCGAAAAACTAGAAGTTCGCCATCCATGCCCACGCATTGCCGAACTGGTCGCGGGATGCCCTGCAGAGCGCACCGTAAACCACCACCAGCACATCTTCCCATTCGGCTTCGTGCCTGAGAGTCGGGCGCGTAAGACCCGAATCTCGTCGGGATCGCCATGGGACCTGCTGCGTGCCTGCCCACCATGCCCGATTCCAGAAAATATGTGGTGATCTAGCATGATGATGCCCTGCTGGGTAGGATTGGCACTCCTCCCTCAAAGTTTGCCGGAAAATCTCATGGAGAATCCGATGACGAAGTAAACGGCGTTTGACGCGACTGGCCCAATAGTCCAGGATTCTCGCCTTGTGTTGGCTGTGATCCATGCAGCCCTCGTTTGCCCAGCTGCGAAGGCGTAGTGACTGGCGTACACAATTTGCACTCCCAGCGCCTGGCCGAAAGAAAAAACGAAGATGATGCATGCCACGAGTTCGACCCATACACCATCGAAGCTGACGGTCCCGAACACCAAACAGGGCACTTATTTCCTGCCGTTCCCAAGCCTACAAAATCCGCCGAAAGAGACTACAAACGCGTGCTTCCCCCTTCTGCCGTCGATGCTCGAGGCTGCACGTGCTCGAGCCCCGGCGGCCCAGCACAACTCCCAGCACCTCCATGCTGTCCACGAGCTTGGTTGTCGTAGTGGCGCCACCCTCGAGTCGATATCTCCAGTTTCATCTGCGCCAGGCCAACCCCGCATGTACTGGAGCGAGCTCTCCTTCCATGACAGTTAACTTGCAAGCACAAAGTTCGCCAGCTCCTGGCAGATCGCCAACTGCTGGTCCGCGGAGGCTGCCATTAGTCCAATGCGGCTACGATCGCTGACATATTCCAACTGCGGGCCAAAAATCAAACTTGGCGCAAGACGCGAGCGATGTCGAAACAGTCGAGGCCCAGAGTAAACCTGCAGTTGCAGACGTGACGGGAGACTGGCAGCATCGGCCGGACGCAATGGATAAGGCTGCTCACGTACCACTTCCAAAAACAAGCGAGACTAGATATCCATCTGAATTTAATCGTATCGGACAGCCGGTGGCTCTTCAGGAATACTGGCGTAGTAAGTGCGCTGCCACTCTGAACGATCTTCTGGATCAGTGCGTTTTCGCCTGTCCAAGAAGAGACGCCACACGTGAATGCATACGGACGTGAGCGCCGCGTATATCTCTGGGGGGCACCCGTTCATCTTAGGTGACGTGTTCGCCCTCATCCTGGCGCGCCCCTGCAACACATCGCAACATGAAATCCTACTCGGGATATTCCACCAACAATGAAGTTTCGAGAAATACCAAGCGAAACAACCAATGAGCGTTTCTAGACCTCTGGGTCGTTCGCCGGATGTGGAAAACGACGCTTACCAAAGAGCTCGGCTTCCCGCATCATGTCGAAGGGTCATGCTTGAGCTCGCCGCCAACTTCCATTTGCATGGGTAGGCAATGTCGGAGGTGGACTCTGCGGACAGGCTCTAATCTCGCACCACTCCTCTGTTTTCGACGTCGGCGCAACACTCTGCGGAGGCATTGCACTGCTGACCCGTACTCTGACGGCGATGCCGAGGCAACCTCTGCTTGAGCCTGATTCCCTAGAGCGCTCAATCGAAGGGAATGCAGCTGCTCGCTGTCGAGACGAAATCGTCGTAAACGAGGCACTCGAAGCTAGTTCTTGAACCGACGTGCGAAACGCCCCTAAGGATAAACCGGAACACGTGCTGCACTTCCGCCGGAGAGCTTCCTTCGTCCGCGGTCGACATCGGTGCCCGGCCTTCCAAGGATCTCTGCGGAGTCTCCCCGCGCTCAAAGGGGACAAGACTACGAAGCTCTGCCAGTACATGTCGGTGAGCAGAAGCCTGGAACACCCTGCTTGGAAAAGACTTCGGGCGTGCCGTCCCTGATATCCCCGGCGTGAGGGCCAAGGAATCGATTTAGCTGCGATTTTGTAACACCCTCCGGGTGCCGCATGTCCATACAGTTCCTCCCTTGCCGGTGCGGAGGCGGAGTGGCTCGCGACTTTGTTCAGGGCATGCAGGCTGAGCGCCTCGAACCACGCAAGCGTCATATTTGCTATTGTCGCCGTGTGCGATTGGGTGCCTGGTACATCATACTCTCCCGTGACACTTTTCCCGTACCACACCGTAGAACACTCTCCTCCGTCTCCTCCTCTTCCTCCCTCGCTCTCAGACTCACTCAGACCCAGACTCACTCATACTCATACCCGCTCGCACTCAGACCCACTCCTACTCAAACTCAGTCGTGTCCAGAGACACACGCATACTTTGTCATGCACGCTCACACTCAGACTCACTCACACTCAGACCCTCGTTCGCGCCCAGTGCACCAGGATGTCTCTGGCGAGTCGCTGGTTTGAGCACTCCCACGGGGGGGCCGCCAGGGCGTATTGCATGGGTCCGTTCGCGCCCAGATCGTGGGGACGTCTCCAGCGGTTTGCCTGTTCGGGTGGCCAGGCCCGTCTGCGTGCAGGGCAGAGTGTTAGGATGCCTCAGAGTGTGAGGACGTCTCAGGGGGCCGCCAGAGGGGGACTGCATGGGCCCGTTCGCGCTCAGAGTGCGCGGACGTCTCAGGCGATCTGCCTGCTTGGGTGGGCGGACTCCTCTGTGCGTCCAGAGCATGGTGTGAGGATGTCTCACGCGGGGCGCCGTGTCATCACAGACTCACTCTTCCTCGCGCAGGCTCGGCCCAAATAACTTTCTCACTCAGACCCACTCACTCAGACTCAGACTTCGCCAGACTCACGCATACCCACTCAGGGAATTTGCCTCAGACACGCTCTCACTCGTGCATATTCAGACTCTAGCACTCCGACACACTCTTCCTCACTCAGACTTTTCTGGTGGTCCACTGCTCGTCGCGACATAGCAGGCGCGGCGTTTGGGCACCTAAAGGGGGGACGCCAGAAGTGGCGGCACTCCAGGATCCATGGGGATGTAGCACGCGGTTTGCCTGTCTCTGCGGATGTCTCAGGGCGAGGCGCTGGCACTGGACTCCGCGCTCCCAAGGGTGGGGGGCAGGGCTGGGGACGATCCGGGATTCGTGCCCAGATTCCTGGTCTGTCTCAAGCGGTTTGCTTGCTTCTGCCCCCCAACATCCTCTGCTTTCGGAATAGACTGGGAGGATGTCTCAGGCGAGGCGCTGCTTTCATCTCCCACGGCGGAGCCACCGGGGGTGTAGCAATCCCCCCTTCGCGCCGTCGCGTTCGCCCCCGTCGTCTCCGCGGGCCCGCCCTCGCACACAAATGCTCACAGACGGAGAGCCTCAGCGAGACTCGCCAGGAGTATGAGATGCACACATGGGGATCTCCGCGTGGAGTATAGGGGAACAACAAATGACATAAACATAAAAACTCCGAGGTCCGCGCGGATTTCTCGGATCGGCGCTGGGGCCCCCCGGCGGCGCCTCCGGCGCCGCCCCTGGCGCGCTCCGCGCGCCAGGGAGGGGGGTCCAGCGCCGATCCGAGAAATCCGCGCGGACCTCCGAGTTTTCATGGTCATGCCACCTTTTGTTCCCCTCGAGAAATTCCATGACTCGAAGGGGTCTGGAACCTGCTGTGCTACTTACTGTCGCCCCCTCCCGGCTGGACTCCCTCGGACGGGCTCGGGCGGACCCCACAGCCAGACCTCGGCGGGCCGGACCTCGGAGAGCCGCAGGGGGCGTCGTGGGGAACCCCGGCGAGGCACCTCGTGGCGCCTCGGGGGACCTGGGGGGGGAGCTTTCGTCCACCTGTTCCTCCCCTCTCCTCCTCGCTGCTCCTCCTCCTGCTCCTCCTCCTCCTTTCCTCCTGCATTTCCTCGCCTCCTGATCCGCCTTCTCCTTCTTCTCGATCCTCCTCTACCCCAGCCCCTCCTCCTCCTTCTACTGCTACGCGCTCCTTCTCCTCCTCCTCCTCTTGCTCCTCCTCCTCCTCCTCCTCCTGCTCCTCTTCCTCCTGCTCCTCGCTCATGTTCCTGCTCCTTTCTCCTCTCCGCCGCCTCCCTCGTCCTCTCTCGTCCTCTCTCGTCCTCTCTTGTCTTCTCTCCTCTATGACTATCTCATGCGGCTCCTCTATCCATATCTCATCTCTACTCTCCTCTCGCCTCTATCCTCTCCTCCAAATCCTTCCTCCTCCTTGAATTCATACATGTATCATAACTCCTGCCTCCTCCCTACTAGGAGACCACCAACTCTTGTTGTCTTCCTCCAGTCGCCCTCACTCCTCCTCCTCCTCCTCCTCATCATCCTCCTCCACCTCCTGTTCTTCCTCCTCGCCCTCCTCCTCCTCCTCCTCCTCCTCCTCCTCCTCCTCCCCCGCGCCCCGCTGGGACAGGCTCCCTCTACAGGCTTGCTTTGTATGGGCGGTCTGGCGAGAACAGCTCGGGGCTCCAGGCCAAGGGGTGGGGTGGGTGGGGGTGGGGGGGAATCCCAACATCGCGAACATTTCTCACTGGGCACGGTAGGCCGCCTGTGGCCAATTCGCACCTGTCTGCCCACTTGGTCTGCTTAGGTAGAGCTCGGCCCGGTACACCTCCGCTACCGCAGTCCGCGCGCCCCCCTGGCCACGTGACCACCAGCGCGGTCCTGGCCCTGTCCACAGGCGACGTCCAGCACTCGCACGTTGCCCTCGATGACGTCCACGAACTTCTCGATGATGAGCGTCTTCACCAAATTGTTGTAGCGGCGGACCTCTGCCGCGAGCTGGTTGGGTCCCGGGGGAACCTGCCTGCCGAACACCCCGGGTGCCTCCCTGAACAGGCGTCCCATCCCGAGTCATCCTGCCGCCAGCCCGCACGGCCCCACGAGGGCCCCCCGACCTGCCGGAGACGGGGGACACACAGCAGGACCTGCCTTCCACAGCGGGAATC